CACAGTCATATTCCATACACACTGACATGATTAAATTGTAAGGCTACTTTATATGCGCAGTTAGCATACAGGGCACCAACTGCTAATTTGCCTCATTAAGATTGTTTCGAGCACTAAAACGATAAATTTCTTCCGTATAAGCACTAATCAAGCAATGTCTTCGCAAACATCTTTGGTATTGGAGATGTAAGATTTATTAATAATCAAAAGTAAAAATAGCTTCATAACATTTGTTTCATTCGACTCCAGTTCTAGTTTTAAGCAACCTTCATGTCAGTAGGATTGCATTAATTGAGACCAACATGTTCCGTCTCCCCATTTGAGTTTTGCAGGTGACATACTTAACTTGCTTTCTTAGATGAATTTTTTATGTTTTCAAAGAACATTTTCATATCTTGTTCCCAATCATAATCATTCATATTTAGATGTTCATAAAAATGTTATTGATTTTTACTTTAAATTCATTGTGTCCATGCTCTTAGAAATGTCACCTTAATTCCGGGAAGGTTTCATCGTCATCTGAGTCTATGCCGAAGAGGGCAGTTCGTGGAAAATATGTTCGATCATCATCTAAATCAAGAAGCTCTGGATAAGTCAGAGCATCGAGTCGATGTGGGCACCATAGAGCTCGACGTGCTTCCATGGCTTCACTAATTGTTGTTATGATTGCCAGTTTCATTACAGGTGTTAATATTTGACACGATCCAAAAATTCGACTCGAATCCAACACTAAAATTTCGGGTTCAGCTCAGCCCAAACCCAAAACGAGTTGAGACCGGGTTAAAGGTTTCAACCCGTTTGAAAAAGCAGGTCGGATCCGGGTTGACGCAGAAACCGACATTGAGCCGGACTAACCCAAAAACCGAGTAAGCTCAGTTGCCCGTGTCACCCCGCATCGCGTCAGCTCTGCCGTCCGCATCTCGCCTTGTCACGTCGCGTCAGCTCAGGCGTTCGCGTCATCCCGTTGTCGGTCGTCCGCGTCCGCATGCTCTTCTCAGTCTAGCTCGTCTGTAGTTGTCCGTGTCATCTCGTCGTCAGCTATCCACTTGCCCTTCGCCGTCCTCTGTCCGCTATCGGCAGTCAGCTGTCCTCTATCTGCCATCTGCTCATCTGCTTGCAGTTCGCCATTGGCCGTCCGCTTGATGTTCGTTTGCCCTCCGCCAGACGCACTCTGCCATCCACATGCCATTGCTAACCAGATTTTGCATGTCGTGTCGGGTTGACTCGGACCCGAAGCGGGTCATATTCGGGTCCGATAAAGTGGTATGTTTTTAAAAACTAGTCGGGTTCGAGTTGACCTGAATATTTTCTGGTTCAACCCGAACCCGATCCATGACCCGAAATTGACACCACCTAAGTTCCATAGGTGTAGTTGCCAGGGCAAGATTGCCTTCTTCCTTCAAATTGTGAAGCATTCACCTCATCTCCACATCATAACCCTAGAAATACATAGATAGCACCTCCTCCAACCCTCGCCTACAAAGAGTTGAGCTTCACGTAGAATATCCCTATTGTGAGTGACGTCGCCAATTGATTGTTTACCACTATCCGCATGATCTTCCATACCAATATGACGCAACGAGCAAAGGAAGACAGAAAGTCCTATGAAATGGAAGATAAAATACAAATATATCTTTACTCGTAAAAAAACATATAAGATCAACAACCAGAGTAGGCAAACAAAAAAAAGCTCAGATAACCATATCAATATTAGTTTGCTGAAATTAGCTTATTTTGTATTTTTTGAAATAAAAGATCAAAACAAAAATACGTGATGAAAATTATAAGACTATAATTTTATTTTAGAATAAAAATTTTTGAGTTTTATTTTAAAGATAAAATAATTTTCTTATAATTATTATGAACTGCTTTCTATTAATTCTGATTAAATATTGTTATATTTTGAGAACTTATGTTATACTTGTTGCATCCTGGAGTATTCGCGGCGGTAGAGAAATATAATATTTAACGTCTTAGCATTGTACGAAAATCCGGCACGCAGTCAGATAAGAGAGAGGGTGTATCATTTATAAGACACCAAGATTTTTATGCGAAAAACCCCTAAAAAGGGGGAAAAACCACGGGGCCTAGCCCAGTTTGAATGAATTCACTACTATCGCAGTTGATTACTGTTAGATATTATTCCAGATTTTTAGGTTTATTTTTGTATAGGTTTTTTGTATGGCATATGTAGTCATTTGTAGAGCTATTTGTATAGCCTTTAGGAGTCTTTAAATAAGTGTGTTTAGGCTTGTAATAGGCAGCCAAGGGAATAAAGATTGCTGGGTTTTTTGGATCACGCTTTTCCCTCTCCCTCCTCTCTCCCTCTCTAGATCTTGCAAGAAGATCTCTCAAGATCTTCCTCCTTGGTTTCAACAATTTGGTATCAGAGCCCTGGTGGCGATCTTGAAGGAGGAAGGTGTTCTTGAGGTGTTCAAGTTGCCGATAAACGCGCAGAGTGGACAGGCTGCACGGGAGGCCGCTGGATCGGACTCACCGAAGCAAATCACGCGTGCGTGTACAGAGACGCAAGGCACGCGTGAGGAAGAACCGCGCAGAACGTGGGCTCGATATTCAGAGCTTGTTCGCGTGGAGAAATCGGAGCAGGCGGAGTTGCGTTAGGCGTGGTTGACGAAGGCGAACGGACAAAGAGGCTTGACTGGATTCACCTGAGGAGAAGGAACATTGGCCTGGTGCCGCTATCTGAAAGCAGACGGATCCACGCTGGGCAAGGCAGCGAGGATCGCGTGGCACAACATGGTTCTTGCGCAAGAAATCGGAGGAGGTTCAAAGAAAGATGCGGTGGAGTTTTGGACGTCTGGCGGGGTTACCGGAGTTAGCTCCTAGCTCTGGTGCCAGGATCAGAGGGAAGCTGGTTTTGGCATAGGGTTTTGTACGTGAGAAAGAATCGGACATCTGGAACAGGCGGATCTCACAGAGGCCGGATTTTTTGCTTGATCTTGAATCAAGTTTCGATCGGTCTTGACTAGCTTGGAAGCAGATGGGTCAACCCGGCAACCCGCCGGGTCGGGTCCGGGTTTGGATTTCCGACCCGTTTGCCTTCCCGGGTCGGGTTAGGGTCGACCCGTTTGAACCCGGGTCAGTTCCGGGTTCGACCCGAACCCGACCCGTGACCCGAAATTGACACCCCTAACTATCCGCATGATCTTCCATACCAATATGACGCAACGAGCAAAGGAAGACAGAAAGTCCTATGAAATGGAAGATAAAATACAAATATATCTTTACTCGTAAAAAAACATATAAGATCAACAATCAGAGTAGGCAAACAAAAAAAAGCTCAGATAACCATATCAATATTAGTTTGCTGAAATTAGCTTATTTTGTATTTTTTGAAATAAAAGATCAAAACAAAAATACGTGATGAAAATTATAAGACTATAATTTTAATTTATAATAAAAATTTTTGAGTTTTATTTTAAAGATAAAATAATTTTCTTATAATTATTATGAACTGTTTTCTATTAATTTTGATTAAATATTGTTATATTTTGAGAACTTATGTTATACTTGTTGCGTCTAGAGTATTCGCGGCGGTAGAGAAATATAATATTTAACGTCTTAGCGTTGTATGAAAATTCGGCACACAATCATATAAGAGAGAGGGTGTAACATTTATAAGACACCAATATTTTTATGTGAAAAACCCTTAAAAAGGGGGGAAAACTACGGGCCTAGCCCAGTTTGAATTAATTCACTAGTATCACAGTTGATTACAAATGAGACCCTTTTTGGGGTGAAGGCCTTAACTTGATGTACATCTTATAGAGTACATTACATGATAAGAGTATAAAGAACCACTGCTGATGTGTTTGTTTGACATGAAGGATTGTAGACGGTGGGCGATATAAGTCAGAAGGACCGTAGTCGGCGGGCGACGGAAGGACTGTAGTTGGTGGGCGACATAAGTTAGAAGGGCCGTAGTCAGCGGGTGACAGAGATCGAAATGACTGTAGTTGGTGGGCGACATAAGTCAAAAAGATCGTAGTCGGCGGGCGACGAAGGTTGGAAAGACATTAGTCGGTGGGCAACGTAAGTCAGAAGAACCGTAATTGACGGGTGACGGAGGTCGAAAGGACTGTTGTTTGACGACGAATGTCAGAAAGATGACGTCATGTAGAAATCCGGCAATGGACAGAAATCCAGCATAAGATAGATGTCCGTCGAAAGTCTAACAACTGGCAGAAGTCTAGTGTCGGGTAGAAACTTGGTGACGAGCAGAGGTCCGGCGTCGGGTAGAAGTCCGATGTCAGTTGGCGGTCGAGGAGAACTCCGGTGTTAGATGGTATTCATGCATTACTCTAGCGTCATTTGGAGTTCGGGTGAAACTCCGATGTTACTTGGAGGTCGGGTGGATTTTCGACCTCACATGGAGGTCGGGCGGAATTCTGGCGTCACGTGAAGGTCAGCGGAATTCCGGCGGTGGTCGAGGAAGAGTTTCTTCCCTCCTATTTTCTTTTCTCTTCTCCTCTTCTTGGTTATCTTCCTCCGGTCCGCTCTCAAGAGAAATGATGGGTTATTTATAATTTTTTTAGGATGGCGCGACCCGTAAATAAAAGGAGGATCACGGGCAAAGATGGAGTGGTTGGATGGACGACTGATATTGAATCCCTTGATCATGGACCGTTCGTCAGACATTTGAAAGTCTTAGTGGTGTCGAAATTCGGCGATCTTGGGCTCGTTGGATTTGTCTCGTCGTGCCGCTCGATTCGACTAAAAGAATGTCATGTTTGGAAACTGTTTGGTAATCCAAATTGTGGTTCTAACCTTCCAACAGCACTTCGGGTCCTTGATTTGGACTCATTGGGGTTCGGATTGAGTCGTCGTTGGGTTCGTATTTCCGAGACGTTCAATTTGAGTGTAAGTTTGCTGAAATGGGAGTTCAGATGATCCCAGGTTTAATTTTTGAAGTTTCCCACTTTATTTTTGCCTCAAGATTCGTACCCGATCAATATAATTTTTCGATGATATAACAATACTTTTGACTAAAAAATATATCAAACAGTTATTTATGTTTTTATATAGCCGAACAAAATCGGAAACCAGGAAATTCTAGCAAAGCCTTGCCCTGCTGCTCAAAGAAACAAATAGTACATCAGCGACTGAGCAGCTCCCCGACAGCCAAACCTGCCCTAATTTTCAGGGGAGCAAAGCAACCCTCCGAAAAACCAAAAATCCTTAGGAACCAGAAATTCATACAAATCAGTACATAGAAGCAAGAATCCCTCGCTTAATATCTCCTTAATAAGCCCAGTTACGATCATTCATGAACAGTTCCACCTAATCGAAGATCTTAATTTCTCCAAAATCACAAACAATCGCAGTCTCAGGCCACCGGCACCGCCTCGACAAGCTTGGCGAAGTAGAACTGCGTGCTAGTAAAGCCTCTCCTTCTCACGCGCCAACCAACCTTCTCAAGCGCCCTCTCCACATCGCTCTCTGCATGTAGATACGCTCTCGTCGCCTTCGATGGCCCTGGAAATAGCTCCCCAAGCCTCTTCAAGAAACTATAATACAATGTCTTTGGCGCAAAGCTAAGCACCAATCTCTCCTCTGCAAGCGAAGCCAGATGCGCGATCATCCCTTCCGCTTTTTCCTGCGGGTAATGTATCAGCACATCGAGACATACCACCGTATGGTATTTCCCCTCCAGCCCCTCCAAATCCATGACCTCAAACTTAGGGAATGTCAGTCCCTCGACGCCGCTAATCGCCTCATCCGCCTGTCTCCGCGCCTCCGCCACCATCGCTGCCGATATATCGTTGGCGGAGACGATTGCCCCCTCGCGTGCGAGGGGGATCGCGAGGCTTCCTGTCCCACAGCCTGCGTCGCAGACGCTAACGCCGGAAAGGGGTCCGCCGTCCTTGAGCATTTGGATGGCGTTTTCCACGGTCTTGGAGTGACCGAGGCGAATGTCGAGCTGGACCTTGTTGACGCCTTCGGTTGCGTCACCGTAGATCTTCTTCCAGCGGTCGAAGCCGGTGGTGTTGAAGTACTCGCGGACGACTTCTTTGTCGGTACCGCCTATCTCTTGGGCTTGTTGTTGGCGTCGGCGTTCGGGGTCTGTGAGGGAGACTGCGGCGGCAAGGGCGGCGCTACCGAGAACGGCGATAGCTGCAGGGGAGTCGAGGGAGAGGTCGGCGGCGAGGGGAAGTGGGGGGAGGGCGAGGGTTTTGGTAGTGGGGCGGCGGCGAGGCGTTGGTGTTTGGAGGTTGGAGGAGGAGGTGCGTGCGCGGGAGCCGGAGGATAGAACGGCCGCGAACGCCATCGGATTCTCTTTTGGCTTTTGGAATTTATTATTTTTTGTTGAATAGAAATATTGTTTTGTGATGGATTGAGGATTGGTGAGCTGAGGATTTGTGATGGATTCTGGATAAGGTTGGAGATATTGTTTGTGATTGATCATTCGCCGTTAAAATGACGTTTTATTGATGGACATGTTCTCTTCAAATAACCTAAATTAGGTGACCAAATGTGATATGCTTATAGTTAAATCGAGCAGCTTGATGAGACGAATCAAACAAGCTCATGATCGTCGAATTTTGACATCAATAAGTCACTTTAAATGCTTGATAAATAATTCATGATCGACGGAGTTGATATCAGTCATCCAACGAAACACTCCCAACATGTCCTTTATTATTTACTAGTTTACTAGTCATATCACTTCTGAAAAATTACAAATAGAACCCTCATTCTTCACATCGTGGGAGCCTTTAGGTGGGGGGATAGAATAAGACCTTTGAAACTTGAACAATCTTGAAGTTCCGCGTTGGCAACATCGTCGAGAAATCTGCGACACCATGTCGCAGTTGTTGGACCTCAGCCCGACAACTATCATCTGTTGACTACGGTCCCTCTGACCACCGTCACCTAACTACGGTCTTTTCGACCACCGTCGCCCGTCGACTACAGTCCGTTCGATCAATATCACCTGACTACTTTCCTTTTGATCTCCGTCGATGCAGAAATCTATTTGAAAGCTTCTGAACATTAATTGATGATCAAATGTGAAAGCTTTAGAACATTGATTGCATAACCAAATATAATATGCTTATAGTAAAATCGAGCTGCTCAACGAGACGAATCCAACAAGCCCAAGATTGTCAAATTCAGACATCAATAAGGTACTTAAATGCTCGATAAACGATTTATGATCGAGGAAGATTTGATATCGATCATCCATTGAAACACTCACAACATGCCCCGGGAGGAGTAAGAAGTGAAGTGCTTTGAGGCCTGAAGAATCTTGGAGCTCCACCCTGGAAAGGCCATTAACGAATCCATGACATCATGCTGCCGCTGCTGGACATTTGCCCGACCACCATCACCCACTGGTTACAGTCCCTCTGACCATTGTCACCTGACTACAGTCATTTCGACCACCATCACCCTCCGACAATAGTCTTTTTGACCATGGTAGCTAAACTAATGTAGTTTTGACCTCTGTTGCCCGACTACGGTCCCTCCAAGCACCATTGACTAACTACGATCCCTTAGACCACCATCACCCGACTACGATCTTTTTGACCATCGTCGTCGCGTTGCTCCACTATAGTCCTCTCAACCTCTATCATCCTATTACGATTCTTTTGACCTATGTTGCTCGACTATGGTCATTCCGACCAATGTTGTCAGACTATGGTCCTTTCGATCACCGTCGTCAGATTATGGTCATTCCAACCATAATCTCCCGTCGATTAAGAGCCCATGACCACCATTAATCGCAAACTAAAGTCCCTTTGACCATCGTCACTAACCGACTACGATCCCTCTAACCACTGTCACCCGCTGACTACTATCACTCTGACCACCATCAACCGACTACGGTCTTTCCGACCACCGTCGTCCGCTAATTATTGTCCTTCTGACTTATATTGTTCGATTAGGTCCCTCTGACCACCATCACCTAACTATGGTCAATTTGATCACTTTCGCTTGAATATGGTCCCTCAGACCACTGTCACCTGGTTACGGTCCTTCCGACCATTAACGCAGTTAACTACGATTTTTTATTACCACTGTTGCCCCCACTAAGGTCCTTTCAACCTCCGTCGCCCTGCTACAATCCTTCTGACCTCTGTTGTTCGAATATGGTCATTCTGACCACCATTGCATGACTATGATCCTTCCAACTACCGTCCCCCGTTGAATATGATCACTTCGACTAACGTCGCTCGCCGACAATGATCCCTCTAACAACCATCACCCACTGACTATGGTCCCTCTGACCTCCATCTAGATGAGTTAAATTAAAGATAATGGTTAATATGCCATAAAAATATTGATTAGGCACGAATCATGATGCGAATATGAATAAAAAACATTTAAAATTAAATATGGGATCATTTGAACTTCGATTTCAGCAAACTTATAGACAAACTGAATGTCTCAAAGAGGCAAACCCAACGACACCAAAATTGATTCAATCCGAACCCAAATGGGTCCAAATTGAGAGCCCAAATTTATTTGGAAGGTTCAAAAAATTAATTAGTTTATCAAATGATATCTAAATGTTGCATGCTTATAGTCAAATCGAGCGGCTTGATGAGATAAATCCAAAAAGCTTAAGATCATCAATTTTTGACATGATTAATACACATAAATGATCAATAAATGATCCATGATCAAGGAAGTTGATATCGATCATCCATTGAAATACTTCCAACATACGCTTAATTTTCTCCTTATTTACTAGCCATGCCACTCCCAAAAAACTATAAATAGATCCCTCGTTCTTGGGATGAGGAAGAGGAGAAGAGCTTTGAGGCCTAAATATTTATAGTTTGAGACGACTGTTATGACATTTTTTTAGGAATCTATTATATCAAAGTTCACATAAGATGCTTCAAATTGGATAATCCAATCTTAGGGTTGGCTCAGGTTGGCAGTCGATTCGAATATGAGTCTAGTTATGTTTCTATGTTCCTCTAGAAGTACATCCATCTAAAACATGCGGTGATAAGAAGATCCACACAAATGTTAGAAAAAGATTAAACAAGATGAAGAGAGAACACATAGTAATTGAGAAAGCTAAACTAATAAATATCAAGGAAAATATTAATTCCATGAAGAATATTATTAAGTTTACTTAATAAGTTCAATGCATGGCTTCTAAAGAGAAAAATGTAAAAAAGAGGCTATATATATGGCCAACTAATCTACTACTAATATCTTTCTAGCACTCTTTCTACAAAGCTTCCCTAGCCTGACGCACATCTCCTCCAATCTCGCCTTTGTTGAACTCAATAATTGGAACTAAGCTAATAAAGTAATAATAATGAGAGATAAATTTAATGAAAACATATCTTAACATATCAAAGTAACATAGAAAGATATTTAACATGCCCAAATCATGTTTACTTTAAAACAAAGTCCAATCAAAACTATGAAAGCCTAGTCAATAACGTTTTAAATCCTTTGGACAATAGGTGAAGTCTTTAAACAACGAAGAAACAAACTTTTTTGTTAAGTATATAAGAGGTTATGACTTTATAAATATTATATTATCTTTCAATTGACTTCTTTTACAACACTTGGACGCGATTATATACCATACCATGGTCATCATTAGAATTGCATAACCTAGGGCACTAGATAAGTCATTTAACATTGGTGATTGTCACATGAATGGTCTAGTCATCTTGTTTTCATACGAAGGCATCTTCAGACTCATCATTATAGATATACTCATTAATTCAAGTTTATATATATCTAATAGAAGGTGTGTCAAAATTGGTTGACAGATCAGGTTTGGGTCCTAACCAAAATTGATGAAACCAAAATTTAGTCACTCCTAACCCAGCTCATTTGATAAATGGAATGAAAACACCAACTCAAACCCGACCAGCTAGCAAACCGAATGTCTCGAACCAAGCCTATTAGCCCATTTGGTTACAATTTCTTATTTACAATTTACTAACCATAAAGTATAAGATTTTTGATAAAAAAATACAAAGATTATACGCACAAGTAAAAAGAAACATCATGGCTGTTTTATCATTTTTAGTCATTGTTTATCATCATTTAACTACCATTTGACATCCACGTGCCTCATTAGTTGACTCCACATCATTTTTGGACCATGACATTCCATTATTCATCATATTTTTCTCTCCCGTGCGAATTGAACATCTCAAGCTCTCAAACATCTTTTCTAGGTTCTTGACAATTTTTTAGATTCTCCCACAATATTAATATTTTGACCATAAAAACTTACATAAATTCTTCAAACCTTATAAATAACTATGCAAATATTTAATGCACTTAATCTCTGCATTGAATCCATATTCATAAATACTAAAATAAATCATACTTATGAAATATTTTTCTCTTAGTGTGCACTCTAGGATGTTAACTCAAAAAAATTTTCTTACGTGCCTATAGAAGCTAAAAGATTACAAGTAATTTGACATGATTTGTAACAATCCCAAAATAGTCTTCTAAATTTTTTTCTACTACTCCTACATGCATACATTTTACATGATCAATGTATCTCTTTTAATTATTGATGCAAACATGAAAACTCTTATAACTACATTCCTGGGAACAAAAATTACTTCTTGTTAAGAAGCCTAAATATCTTTTAAAGAAAGAAGGCTGAAGAGGCCCAAGCAAGAGATCTTTTTAGCTACTAGTTTTCATAGCTAGCTTGAAAATCAAGATGACATATCATAATAATTTCTTTTCTTATATCAATTGCTCAATAAAGCATGATGAAACACCTCCATTATTAATTAGCATCCAAACTATCAATAGCTTGATGAATTGAAATAAAAGAAATAGTATAGTAGATTATTCCCTAAATTAAAAATATGGTATAAGTCCTTCCATAACTCAAGAAGTGATACTTCACAAAACTTAGTTTGATAATCTTAAATAAAATTTAGGCAGAATAACACAAAGATAAGGTTTTAATGTAGGTTTAAAATACGATCTTAGTGTTTTTTCAAATCTATATTTTTGTTATATGCATCAAAATCGATATACTTATGTAGCAACTAGCATTACTAATTATTTATCAATAGCAAGCAATTAATTAGTTATTAGGAGTTTAAAAACATAATGAGGTTATGGGATTAAGGAATATCAACATAAGGAAACTGAAGGAAAATCTTAACAATGCTAAGCTTAATGTATTGAAAACCATGATGCAATCTATATAGAATGCTCAGAAAGAAAAAGAATTTGGTATCTGTGAGATTTAAGGCAAAACAATTAATGTATCTAACATGTGAGTGATAAGATTTACAATGAGTCACGACATGTGTTGGTAGCGAAGAAAATTGGTACTGCCAAATGATAGGTATTCTTTGATGACAATATAAGAGAATCTGATATGGTGTAAAAGGTGGTGAGGAATAAAAGAAGCATGTTGGATGTCTACATGTATAGATAAAGGATACTCAGCATGCGACATTGCATATTATAGAGGCAGTTGTTAAAATCTTGGCCTTGATGGCATAAGAAGACGCTCCATGTGAGATATGATGTTAAACTCGTGGATATCTAAAAAAGTGAGATGCATTTGAGGTTCTAGTTTATTTGAGATTAGTAGATTTTTTAGCTTTTTTTCATAAAAATTTAAATAAAAATGTCTCTATAATAATACAAAACAATTTAACTTAATAATCTTCATCATGTTTGGTAGTCAACCTCACGCGGCTTATAGATAAATAGGGAGAATAGAGAAAAAAAGATAAGAAGGGCTATGATTTACTTTTGAAAAACATCATTCATGGTCAAGGAAAGAACATTTCAAAATAAGATTATTCTAATTTTCTTTTCCCTCTTTTAATGAAAAGAGACTACTTATTCTATTTAAAAATTATAAAGAAATGGGTAAGGGCATATCTATTAAAGCTAGCTAATATTTAATGTAATATGTATATATACGTATTATACTCATCTAGTTAGTCCATTGTCGCCGTTATTTATATAAATAAACAATTTGATAATAGGTTTTTTTAAATAAATATAACAGTATTTAAATCAATTTGAAATCAAATGTAAAAGGTATTATCTTAAATATTTGTTTTACTTTCAATATTAATATATTATAACTTGTAAGAAGATTATTAAAATTCTATTTTTTAATAACACTTTACATCAATTATGGGTTCAAAATCAAAACATTTGATTCTATTATTTGTCATATTGTTGGAATTATATAATAATAAAAAATGCAATGAATTAGAAAATAAAATAAATATTATTATAAATTTAATACATTTCCTATCTTTATAATTATTATATTCATAATGCCATTTCATTCTCCTATATACTCAATGCCACCAAACATGAAGAAAGAACGATACAAGGAAAAAGAAGAGCATAGCATAAATTCCTCTGTCAATTCCTGACATATTTGTAATCCTAGACAATGTACAACAAGTCAATTAAAATAAACTGTAACTGGTCAGAGGATGTGGATTCAAAGTCCATTTTGAGGGGGTTGATCTTTTTTTCCATAGGCACCAATAGTCAGTTGTCCTGCCTGACACAATGGGCGGCAAGAATTTTCGTAGTAAAATTTATGATATATTTGAGATGGTTTATAAAATTCATTGTGAAGTTGCAATGATGAAAACAACTCCGCTATTAGGATTGCAAAGTTTTTCTACAGCAACATTCATGAAATCGCTAAAAAAGTCTTTCTAGCAAACACAAACACGGTAGAATTATAGTAGTTCTTAAACTACTGCAAATAATTTAGTAGGTCTTTAAACCACTGTAGTAGGTCAAACAAAGTACTGTGAAAGTCTGATTTATTAGTATTGAGAGGTGCATGAGGCATAAGATACATCATAATTTTTACATGAAAATCCTAAAAAGGGAAAAAACAATGGTGACTTTCCTAGTTGAAATGATCCCACTAGTGTTTATCGTTGGTTATAAAGGATGCCTTTATGTGGGGGAAAGTATTAGCTCAATGTAGTAAATATGCATTATATATTTGCAGTTGGAAGGATCCAATTACATGAGAGTTGATGTTAGCTTGTTTATTTGGCTGATAGGGCTATAGTCAGACGATAGTGGCTGGAAGAAATGTAGTTAGGTGATGGAGTTTAGAGGGGCAATAGTTAAGTGATAGTGGCCATAGGGGCTGTAGTCAGGCAACGATGGTCCGAGGATCGTAATCAACTAATGACCAAGGTTAGAAGGAATGTGGTAGGGAGTCAAAAGTCTAACGACTATAGTCGAGCGATTGTGGTTTGAAGACTATATTCGACAGGAGAGAAGGTAGGAAGGACCATGGTCGGGTCATAGTGATCTAAAGATCATAGTCGGGCGATGGAGATCGGAGTGGTCGTAGTCAACGGTGGTGGTCTGAGGACCATAATCTGATAATGATAGTCTAAGGACCATAGTGGGATAATGTTAGGCTGAGGATCGTAGTCGATAGGTGATTGAGATTGGAAAGACTATAATAGGTAATTCTTGATGGTCTAAGAATCATAGTTGGGCCATAGTGTCCTATGATCATAGTCGAGCGATGATGATTTGAGGACCGTAGTCAGGATACGGTGGTTTGAGGATCGTAATTTGGCAACGGTGGTCGGCTGTACCGTAGTTAGACGATGGTGGTCATAGGGATCGTAGTCGGGGGACGGTGGATGAAGGGATCGTAATCGGCGGGCGATGCAGGTAAAAAAGATTGTAGTCAACAAAAGTTATTAAAGAGATCATAATTGACAGGCGATGGAGGTCAGAAGGATTGCAATCAACAATGATGGTCGAAGGGATTGCAATTGGGCGACTGAGATTAGAGGGAGCATGGTTGGCTGACAATGGCTAAATGGACTAATGTCGGGCGACAATGATCAAAGGGATTGTAGTTGGGTGACAATTGTCATAACTTGATCAAATGTATATATATTATTAAGAAATGTCTCCGGCTAAATCGAATTAAGGTAAGACTTATTTCAATTAATTTAAAATAAACCATGCTTAGTTATGTTGGGCAACATGATTTATTATTTTTTGGAAATATCATTTATTAATTTCAGAACAATATTATAAATCCCTCCTAAATCAATTAAAAATGGGTCAACTCATGTTGATTTTGGGTTTCTTGATCGATCAGGTCAACTCGAACCCGAAATTTTTTGGGTTGGGTTAGGGTCGATTGTTCGAGACATGTCAAATATTGACACCCCTAGATTACATTAGATTGAACATATCATATTGATTCTTTAGTCCTTGCATTGAAAGCTTTAATGAGCTTTTGATTACTGTTGGGCTTTAAAGCTCATTATGTGAATTTTTATTATTTCAGGTCTAAGAAGTGGTCAAAACCAGTTGGATTGAGATTGTTAGAGATCCTCATTTTTTTTTTTTAGATTTTATTATGTCTTTTATTTTATTCTTTTATAGTGAGGAGCTTGTTATAGATTAGTGATTGTAGTGATCACCTAACTAGTATAAATGATATTTTGGGTGAATAAATAGTAAAATTTATTGATGTATATAATTTTAGTTGCTTTCGGTGGTTATTATTTATATTTATGACTTATAGAAGCTCCTATATATTCTTAAAATAATAAATAGACAATTATTTTAAATTTGATTATGTGGCGTTACAGGATGTCCAATGATGATTTGTTGGTGGAAGTCTGATGGTAGCGACCGAGTGACGAGGATTCACCGGTGGTGATTCTTGGGTGGAGTTATGGGATTCAAGTCTCATAGCTCTCTTAAATCTTTAGCCCAAGTCCAAGCCGCCTAGTCCATGTAGAAAGTAGAGGCATATTTATAGATTTTAAGGAGTGGCATGCCCGTAAATATCAAGAATATCTGGTGCAAATACAGAGCACTCGATCAGACGATATGTATTGAGCCCTTTGCTCGTTGAGTATTTTTTTAGTATTTAAGTGCTTAATGATGTCAGAAGAAAGCAATCTTGGGCTCATTGGATTTGTCTCGCCGAGCTGCTAAATTTGACAATAAGCATGATATATTAATTTAGACATCATTTGGTCACCTAATTAATATTCTAAAGCTTTCAAATATGTTTCAAACTAGTGATTTTGGCCCATTTGAGCTCTGATTGGACTGATTTTAATGTCGTTAGGTTCATCTCATCGAGACATCATTTGGTCACCTAATAATTATTAAGTATTAAAAGGACAGTGGCCCATACTAAGCATATCACATCTTAATTTTTATTTTTTAATATTTGAGCCATTAAAATCACATAACTTGAAATTTAAAACCATTTGATTAGCAATCAAAACGCCCAACTAAAAAATCAAGATGAGTTATATCACTTCTTTAAAACAAGTTAGGCTATATATGGGCAGGAATTTAACGGTAATCGGCAACAACAATACTATAGTACTATTACGGTATTACCCATGAACAAACAGGTACAGCTACAAATAATACAAAGCACTATATAGATATATATAGCTTTCTATGTAGGCCAGATTGTCACATTAAATTACTATCTATTTTTGAAGCTCGTATTAATAAAGAGAAATTGGGTTATTTTAAAATTCTTAAATTTATTTTGAGACAAATATAAACTTTATATTATATTCATCTCAAAATAAAATTAAAAAATTTTTAAAATTTATTAACCCAATTTTTTTTTCACTATTAGTTTTTTAAAGAATATTAATCGCCCTTCGCATTCTTCCATATCTGCTCGAGCTCTGCTGCGAAAGTATTTTGACGGCCAACAACCATTGTTATATGGTCCTTTCCACGGAGCACCTTAAGATGAGCCCGCGGAACTTTTGATTGAACTGCGTAGCTGCATTCCACCGGAACAAGTTCATCATTTTCGCCATGAAAGATGGTGACGTGGCACTTAAGTTGGTCTCTTAGAGCGTCAAGATCTCTGTCCATCTTCTCCGTGTTGCCACAAATCACATTGTGGAGGGTGTGCCATGCTGCATTGTGGGTGTGGCACATGAACCCTTCGATCAAAAATGTTCTAATCCTGTTCCATGTAAGGAAAATCAAATATCGAATTAATATGACAAAACTATTAAAGATAAAAACAAATAAAAAAAGATTATTAATTAATATTAAACATCTTGTTTTTTTAATAATATTTCATATTTTTTATGTAAATATTTTTGTGTGAGGTACTCTTGTTATGTTTTATTCTGCAATTTACAATTTTTATAGAAAAATTCATTTGTGACCTTTAATATTACGTATGCATGGGGATGGCTATGCATGTCCTATTAATTGATAAAGGGTTTAAATGTTTAGCTGGATGGATATTTTTGTCTATAAGTACTGAAAGCGAGTCTGTATGAAGAATTTTTTTTTTTCAGGTAAATTTATATATACATTATATATATAAGACTCAAGCTTCGTTTGGAGTGATTATTTTATTTCTTATTGAAGTATTTTTTAGTAAAAGAATTAAAAATTTTGTACTAAAAAGTTGCTTCAAAAAGTAGTCAAAAAGCCGTCCTAAACGAAGCCTCGAAATGAAAACCTTTTGATTGATAGACAAAGCTCTCAACCAACAAATCTAAATTAGTTATTTATTCGATAGAATGTAATTAGATCCAATCAATACTGTTAGTGCTTGTAATTGTTGTCGCATAGAAAATTTAGGTTAATTAAACATAATTTTATTTATTTACAGCATAAAGACTTTATGATATTGTTGGTCAGATTAGAACTTATGATTGATTGACTTGAAATTATGCAGTCCAATCTAACAGTTTGGCTCTATTTGAGCAAATGTAATTCATTAAGAAATTTAATTCTAAGTAAATATAAATTTTAATTTAGCATTTTTTGTTTTGTTTGTAATAGTTTTTCTACTATTTTATGGTATGAAAAGTATTTATTAAAAAATAATATATATTTAAAAGACAGCTTTTTTTCACAACTATTATTTTTGCCTTAAGAAAATACTTTTTAAAAATATTTTTTAAATTGTAGTTAAAAAACGAGTCTTAAAATGCAAAATTAGAAAAATTTAGACCAACCCAAATAAAATCTTATTATTTTAATCTTTTGGGTGTATTGATTTCAGGGAGAATGTTTATTTTCCATTTTTTGCATATATAATTTATATATCAATGTTTAAAATTTATTAATTTTTATAATGATTTAAATATTTATGAATTATTTAAAAATGTAATTAAATAATGAATAAATATCAGTTTAAATGTCTAACTATACTCATCTACTTCATTAATCAAAAAAAATATATATATATATATATATATACATATATAAATATTTTAATATAAATTTAAAGAATATATTTTAAAATTATTTTTTTGACATACTTGAAATTCAGTGTAAATAATTATTTAATTTATTACTATACAATTGATATCAGATTCAGATTATCCTAACACAAATATTTTGCTGAGGCAGATCTGAAACCAAATTAATGATAGCAAATAGGTTAGTTACCTGTTCAAAGTCAGGAGCCTAAAGATGTAGTTCCAAAGCCGATGTTGCCTGCATATCACTAGACATATTGTCCTGCTCACATGCTCATACCAACAGGCCATGGATGCCGCAAAGACCATCGGCGGCCAAACCCTTCGCGGCGCCACCCTCCTCATCACCGCCTGCCCTCCGTCCCCTTCTCCTCCTGGAAAGTATGGCTGCAACGACAAACCCAACCATATTATAACTTAACCCATTCAATTAATATAATTACACTAAATATGCATAACAGTGTCGGTGACTTATATGGGTAGTAGTAGTTGGTGTGTCATTTTCAACAATTCAATATTTTTGCAAAAAAAAAAAAGCCAAATTATACGCCTTATAATTGCTTATGAAATTAGATATTGTGTAGTAAAAAAAAAAAAAAAAGAATACTAAGGCACTTTATTTCTTTTCATTTGGGAATGCTAAAAGCAGCGAAACTATAAGCCAAATTCAGAGTGGCAAAATATGTCTTTTATAATAATAAATTTCAAAGTTTTTGAAATTTATGTTAATATTAATTTGAGCTTAAAATTACATATATTAAAATTCATTTTGATAAAATATGTCGTAATATTTTTAATAAATTAAGTAATTTAGTATGATGAAAGCAGTGCTCTGCCGTCGCGCCACTAATTTATGTTATTTCTAAAGGGAATTGAAAGAATTAATTAGTTCAGCGCGTTAATTAATTAACTCTTAAATTACCGGCGCGAGAAGTGTGAGTGAGATGACGGAATCCGGGTGTCGCGCGGCGAGGGCGAGCGCGAGGACAGAACCGAGCGAGTGGGCGACGATGTGGAATCGCCGGACGCCGTGTTGACGAAGCACCGACCGCTCGATCATCTCTACGTGCTCGGTCATCGTGTAGAGCGACTCATCCGGCTTTGGGCTCCGGCCAAAGCCCAGTAAATCAACAGCCAGAAGCCGATACTTCGACCTCGCCGCCTCCGAAAACTCCTCGAACACCGTCTCCGTCCAAAAACCTGAAGAAGAGATGAAGCCGTGGATGAAAACTACGTCTTCCTCAGGCTTCAGCAGATTCCCTTCGGCGCGCACGTAAAGATTCCGCGATTGGGATTCGCCGCAAGTGCTCCAAGAGTTGCAGGTGTGGCAGTCGCAGTCAGACCACCGCGGAGCGGCTCGGTGTTTCGTCTTGCGGCTGGGGATTTCGAGAATAGCTTGGGTTGGAACGTTGTGGGCGGCGTATTTTTTTAATATGATCGATGCCAAGTCGGATACGAGATAAGGGCGGAAATGGAGTGTGTCGGAGATGCTGTCGAGATGGAGGCAGTTAGTGGCGGGGCAGAGACGGAGGACATTGCTTCTTCCTCCGCGGCCGCGGCCGGGCCCGCGGCCTCCTCTGGCGAAGATGTCGCCGGAAGAGGAGATCGAGCAGTAGCAGGCCTTCCACTCCCTGTCGACCGCGAAATCCGCGATCTTGTAGACGAAGCAGAGGACGGCGTCGAGCAGGTCGAGGAAGCTGAACACAATTACGCTCACCACCGTGTTCAGCGCCCTTCCGGCTACTGCGAGGAGCCCCATTCTCCCCATCAGCTTCATTTTTCTCCCTTCTTCCTCTTTTTTGTACCAACTCGTGTTTGAGTGTGGTAAAAGAAGGAGAAAAAAGATGGAATTAGGAAGATGCGTGCTTTCTTGCCCTGTTCCTTTGTTCACGATTCCCTCTCCTTCGTTCCCGATTCCCCTGGTTTTAAATTTGGAAAACCATACGAAACCAAGAAGCTGTCAAAGGAGAAACCGGAGAAATCCCAGCCGAGGAAAAGGTCAGGTGCTCAGCCTCTTTACAAATGGATCTTTAAACAAAATGCAAATGTTGGCAGGATTCGGAAGAAACAAACATGGAGTAATATATCATTCGGAGTAGTGTCGAGAATACAAATATGTTTAGCAAAAAAAAGAAAATGAAAAAAAAAGAAAACAGTAAACTCCTAATAAATACGAAAGAGTTTTTTTTTTTTGGTGTGATTATTCCTGTTGAAGGATGAATTATTCACTTGAACTTTGAACTTTGAACACCGTTCAGAGTCCAACAAAAAATGGGCCATGTCACCTCCTATTCGGTACTGCGGCTCGTTACTGTTCGGTACCAAACTCGATACTGCTCGGTACTGGATGACGTAGCTGCACTTGATTCGTCTCTGGATGATAAGCTGTGTCTGGTGTCTGGACAAAATAATCTTTCTTGTTGAAGTGAATTTTGTTCTCTTGCCGATAATTTGGCTGGATTTCTATAATGAACAAAAGGAAAAATTATTCTGTGCAGACGCCGGTTGCAGCTCTATGTTTGAAGGCAAATTAGGTGCAGCAACATTAGCGGTATCGAGCAGTGGTACCTAGGGAAGATGTGATGTGGCGTATTCTGATTAGTCTCCAGACGGCGTTCGGCGTCCGCACAGAGTAATTTTTCGAACAAAAGTTAGGATAACTCATTGTTTTTTTTTTCGTGCATTTATTTAATATGAATTTGTTTTATATTTCATTTTTATAAATATTATTTAATTAACTTCTTACATTGATATAATCTATCCAACTATTTTTTTTTACTTGAATGCAGACCAAAATGAAGGCCAAATGCATATAAATATCAGAGTTAGTGAAGATTTATATTTCATTTGGGACAATTCGTTTTCTTATTATTTTTAGAACAAATTTTCAGAACAAATTTATATCATTTTGTCTAGAGCATTTATTTTAATATATTTAGGAATAATCATTTATTGGCAAAAATATTTTAAAAAAATTTGAATTGATAATGTATTATATTTGTATAATTTTTTACAATAAATTATATATTTAGCTAGTCAGAAATAGTACTAATAAAGAAACTAATTTTAGCTTAGCTCTGTTAAGAAAACATTGAAAGATTTCTCAATACATTCGAGATGGGAAATGTACGATGGGTATAAGTGTAATTAATTTTATCTTAATTTTCGCAATTTCGTAAATGGACGCTTTTAGGAAAAGGACAATGCTTTTTTACTTTTTAGCATGTTAAATATTTATTTTGTAGTTGGAAAATAATATGAAGATAATTAGAAATATAAGCAGTTTTATTGTTGATGTCACTGTTTAAGATCGGCATTAAAGAGTGCTCATATTAGGAGTGGTATTTAAGAAGACATCCGTTAAGCTTTTTTTTTTTTTTTTTTTGACGATCGAGTTAAGAAATTTTAGGGGGGCGCGGATGCCCATTAATTTCATTCTGTATGTCAAGGTGGGTGGCAGATGCCTTAGATTGTTTTTTTTTTTTTTAATGAATTGGTATTTTGTTGGATCATAAATTTCTGATGTGATTAAAGCATGAATTTGGAAGTGATTAAAAAAGAATTAGTATGAAACTTGCAAAAATCATTTTGAAGATTAAATGGAATTTGAATTTCATTAAATTTCTAAATTATCTGATGACTATGATATTTTTCAATAACAATTAGAATGTTCAAATCAATTCTCATGTGGGCCGCAAAATGACTAGACAACTTTAGCTCGGGGGTTGAAAAATCCTTTCCTTTGAGTCGAAGATTGTATAGATCTCTGAATTGGCTGAATGTTTATAGTTGTTGTCGTTCTTAGCTAATTGGTCCCTTGACACCTTTGCACCATTTTTTTAAAAACAAAACAACATTTTATTCATAGAAGGTAAAGATTACAGCACCTACGAACCAACAGCCACTGTAGCAAAACAGCAAAAAAATAATCAGGACAACAAGATATGAAACAACAACAAGCAGAACAAAATAAGACTTAACTGGACTCAGAAATGGAAACCCCCTGCACCAGCCCCACGGCCAGTCATGGACCATCCATAGGTGAGAACCCCACAAAGCCAACACCACCATGAAATCCAAGCAAAAGGACAAAATACTGAGGTTGCCAACCAGCCGAGCCAACAAGGGGAAGTTGTGGGCTTTCTCATCATTGTCCACAAAGCCATCAAATACCACTGTCGATGTAAAAATAGTAAAGAACCAGAGTCTATTTCTTCTTGACACCTTTGCACCATGAACAATGTATATTGGTGGTGGAACAAAATATAACTCTTCTAATTTTGTTCATTTTATCTAATTAGATTGGATTTTATGATGTTCTTATGACTTCTATAAATGTATGATTTATGAGTTATTTCTGGTGTTCAACTGCTCTCTATGATACAATTATTGTGTGATAAAAAATGACATCCTAACTTAATTATTTATCGAAAACCCAAATTTTTATCTATAAAATATTATAGAACTCTTGTGACCACTGTAAACATTTCATTCATGAACTATTTATAATTTTAGGTCGTTTATGAGGAGTTAACCATATTTCAACCTAAAAGTGATAGCTTATCATGTCATTTATTCATGAGAGTAAATTTGATTATAAGAATTCCAAGAAATGTTTCAATAAATCTAATCATTGAAATTTTGATTACTCAACTCCATGTGCTCCATGTACTCATGACATCTAGACCTTAACATAAAAAGTGTATTATATTTGTCAATTGAAGACATCAATATCACTTACCACCATTAAACCATCGTTCCTACATTGATCAAGCTACATTGGGGATGCTCAAGACTTCCTTTTGCCCATTAATTTAGCTAAATAATGGGAACATTCGACCATCTCTTCGATTGAATAAGGGCATCATTTGAATCATTTGATATTACTATGGAATTAATAGATTCCAGTAAAAAGGCCAAAATGTTCATCGTGTTTTCTACATATATTTTGCACTTCTATACATTATGGACATTTAAGTTAGATATGAAACTAAGGAGTATTTGTTGATGGAGAATTCCATATCTTAATATATTATCTGGGATGTTAGATGAGTATTCATATTATTTTCAAATCTATCCTAACATGTCGAATCTTGGTGGTCAAGTTATCACTTATTAAAAGAGAGGAACTGCCCTAGCTTTCATAAAAATCAACTGATATCATGTGTGTCAATTTCACCTTATATATATACTGCACATTAATGTCTCGTTTAAGTAAAGTATTAGTTTGATCACCTTTAATTAATCGCTAGTCAAATCTAGGTCATTTAAATGCCTTTCAACCTAAGAGAGGAACAATTTGGATTTCTTCCATTTGCATGTTGACTTAAGCTAACTTAATCCCACTTAATTTTTAGAGATGGATATCTCAGCCTTTTATAGTCACTAATTCATGTAGGTTATCTGATTCCCCTTTCATTAAGGTCATGGATTACCCCAATCATCTCAAATTACCGGTTGACTCTAGGTTTCTTAGTGCATATTGCTTTTAAGAAAGAAATATCATTGGTACCTCCAACCAAACCCCCAAATCCAAGTATTCTAATTCCCACACCTTATAGGAGAGGGAAAACCTTAATTGTATATAATCTTCTATTATAACTCTTTGACATTACTATAAAATAACTATTTGATGATGGAATTTTGAGACAATAATTTATATATCACAATTTTACAATGAAATGAGGCAAGTTTAGCTCTTTATCATAATAGTATAAACTTTTAGACATATGGCTTCTGAAAAAAAAAATATTATAATTTATTAATAAATTTGTGACATATTATATTGCCATCACTATACTTAGTGTGCTAAAATGAAATTGTGTGGGAACTAAAGATGAATTTGTAATATATAGTATTTTGCTCACAAGTTTATGGCATAATTACTTCCATCTTAGAGGTCATAGTCCATGTGGTAGGATATGAAAGAATCATGGTCAAATAATGATTGGTTGTGCATTTGCTTTTAGAATATGATATCATGAGAGAGGAGCATGTAATAACAATTATGGGCCATCACACCTTAACGTCTTGCAAAGCATGATTGGTTTTTTAATCATAATATTAGAGCAAGTATAGATTTAATCTTTAGAATGACAATACTTGATTGAGGGGAGAGAGAAAAGAACTATCCAAATTAAATAGGGATTATGACCGTATATTAGCTACTGAGTCTCCTTCATAAGTCAACAAGCAAGTGTGAACCATGATCTTCTTTGAAATAAACTCACTAATTATGGTCATTAAAAAATAATTAAGTAGTATGGTTTTCTTGAGTGACCAGTTCACATCAAGTGAGCGATCAATATAATTCCAATGTCCAAACGCTTGTAATTGGCCATGACATGCACTAGTCTGATTGCTTGATATACTACATATAAGTTTCGAATAGGGTGTGAAGAAATTAGAAGATTATGTCTAGTAATCCCAATTAATTATCTTTAAATTGTATAAGGTCGTTTAGATATGTTTTGTTGGGTGAATCAGTTTCACCTGACTTCCTTTGCTTAAAGTGTCTTCCCATCATGGTTTGCCTGCTTATCTAATTTCGGAGGAGGATATGCTTTCACTTGCAATGCCTTTTGAGTTTACTTTAGTGGGGAAGTTTTTGGGCCGGCACCCGCCTCTTTATACGATTCGCAACATTTTCCTTAACCTAAAGTTTTGTGATGGATTTTCGGTTATAGTTTTGAAACCCAAAAATGTGTTGATTAAACTTGTTAATGATTTAGATTATTGTAAGGGTTTTTCTTGCCGCTCCTATTTAATTAGCAATTTCTTCATGAAGCTTTTTAAGTGGACTCCCCATTTTGATATTAATATAGAGTCTCCTATATTAATATGCAATAATTAATCCTTCTAGACCTTTTGTTGCTCGCATACTTGTTGAATTATATGTTACTAAAAGATACACTTCTCAAGTCTGGCTCGGTTCTCGGTCATTTGAAGGATGGTTGTCTGATCTTATTTCCAAAATTGAATTTTGCTCCTCTTGAAGAGGAGGGGGTTGTGTCTGATACTCCTATTTTGCATGATTTTGGTGATCTTATTCGAATCAATGGTTTGGTTGGGGTGGTCTAAGGTGATTTGGTGAAGAATCAAGTTGTTAATTGTGCTCATGATGTTAGTGTTGTTTCTTCTTTGCCTAAAGTTATGGGGCATAAGATTATGCCTATTTTT